GCATAGGGCCCAGCAATTGTTAGGACCGGCCCTGTCTTATCTTATCTTAAATAATACAGACGTTACTTCAAAAAAGAAGATGATTACGTCCTACGCGTCATGCATTCAGTCATGCATATTAACTAATGACTTAAATTCTGCCAAGTCACTGGTTTTCCTGGCTAGCTCAGACAACCCATTCCATGCTCTAATAGCACTAGGGAAGAAGGAATATTTGTACAAATTTGTCCTAGCATATGGGTTGAAGCATTTTTTTTGTCTTTCTGAGTATTTTATTAAATTTTGTTTTTGTATTTGAAGATTATGGTTCAGTGTTTTATGTATAATTGCTACTTTACTTTTAAGTGATATAAACACATTTTGAGTGCATTTTTTTTTTGAAATATCAAATAAATCCTTACTAGATAATTTTTGGTGAATTAAATTAAACGTGTGAGCAGGATATGAGCAAAATGTTTCTATATTGCAAATCAAAAGTCGAAAAACGAATTGTCGATGAACCAATGAATTTGCTACTTTGGCAACACTAAGCATCCTGAAATCAATATTTCGTTAAAGCGAACAAATCTTTAGTTTTATTATTTTAAATCTAGAAATAGATCTAGCAATAATAATATTTATTTTATTAGCTTTTTAACATATATTGATAAATCTAGATTCTAGATCTATACCTTTAATGAAAAAGTATTTTATTCCAATAAAAATTTAATAGCTCATGAATAAAAAAAAATTACCAATCTAGACCACTAGTTCTATAGATCTAGACTAGATAGATTATAATGTAGATAGAGATTGCAGGTTACTTGATCTTACCAACAACGTTAACTTTCGTTACCTTGAAAACCATGCTTTAGTCATAGTGACACTAGATCTAGTTCTACTTGCCCTGACATTCAATCTTAGCAATCATTCTTGAGATTTAGGCTTTATTTTCTTCGGCTTTTTATACAATCTAATTCTACATTGCGTTTTTTTTTTGTTATCTCATTTGTAAGTAGACAGTCTCGTTATATTATCGTGTCTAGAATACTTTTCTTCACAGTCACAGTCTATTTTTTATTTTACAGTCTTACTCTTACTACTCTTAGTTAGTCGTAGTCTTAGACTGAAGTTGAGTTAGTCTTAAACTTATTTTTATTAATCAAGAAGTCTCTAGACTTCTGGAGTCTAGGTCTAGTGACTAATGTCGTAATTATGACTAACCATCACATCAGATGATCAGTCATTCAATCAGTCATTAGTTAGTCTTTAGAATGAGATTCAGACTGATGCTGATGCCTGATCACTGCAGTTGCAGTGCTTCACTCAAATCAATCATTCATTACTGTCTGAAGACACTGTCACAGTCGTGACTGTCACTGAAGACACTGACTGAAGTTGTGGTAGCACTGTGTCTTGAGTCACTGTGTAGTCATGTAGTCACTAGTGATGTGACTAGTGTTACTAAGTCACTAAGTGTAGTTAGATCTAGATCTAGATTTCAGTTGAGTTGTATTTTTACTATACACTGACTCTGTAGTCAAGTGTAGTCAGTCAGTGTCAAGTGACTGTTATTAAATTAGTGTTATTACTGTGACTGTAGTCTAGACTAGATAGTAGATTACTAGATTTGACTAGATCTAGACTAGATCTAATAATAATATAGAATTATAGATCATTAGTCAGATCTAGTGTAGAGTGTAGACAGTATCACTATCAGTAGACTGTTACTAGCCTAGCTCTAGATCTCTATCTTATGTGCTGCAGTTACAATTACAACTAGTCACTAGTAGTTACTGATAATGATATTAAATATTACAGATATTTACTGAGCTTACTCTAGATCTAGACTCAGACACAGTGTAGCCGTAGTGTCTGTACTGTAGATCTAGTCCATCTAATCACATTCTAATTCTAGAATCTTATCTAGATCTATTTTCTAGTCTTAAGTACAGATAAATACACTCATCACTGCCATACTGTATGTATGAATGTTATGCAGCGGCCAGTCATAGATCTAGTCGCTAGTGCCAGCAGGGAGTGGGGTAACCGCACATTGACTTTGAGTAATTGACATGATTCATTGATTGCCTGGATTAGATTTAGATCTAGATCATGTATGCTGCCAATTTTTATTTTGGACTCAACTGTCTTTTCTTACTCATTGTCTCTCGACATTAAAGGCTCTTGGTCACATGACCACAACACAGTTCATACTTGCATGTACATGCAGTAATGTCCCTTATTCGACAGCCGTTGACCTGTGTGATAGGCCTAAGTCATGTGTATCAGTAGGCGCACATCATACATTAACCCTTTTGGTCCGCCACTGGAGTTACTACAATATGATTTTTTTCAACATTAATTTGCTTACAACCATATTCTGTGAAAGTCTTGTCTATGCTCATCGCCAAGTCTGCTAGCACTTCCTCTGTTCCTGACAGACCATCTTTGTCATATATATATGCATTATAAATTTTTTCTCACCAACGCTAACAGTACCCTAGTAACCTTCAGCAGCATCCTTCATTATCCTTTGTCAAGGTGGATATTGAAAAGTATTGTAAAGCATAAATAAATCAAATACATCTTAGAAGCAGTCTAAATTCAGATAATTGGGATATATATGTATGTATGTCTTATATATGTTAACCTTTGTTTATAGTGGAATGTTAGGAACATTGTACTGTTAGTAAATGACACTGACCTCATTAGGATTGTTTATCAGCTTTAAATTATCTTCTCATTAGCCTAATTGGTTGGACACAACTAGATCTAAGACCAGAGCCAGAGGTTATTAGAACTCTAGAGCTTATAATTAGACTTAGCCTGGCTTAGTTTTTTTGTACTGGTACTATAATATTAACTTAACCTTAAAAAAAAATAATGCTTTACAAACGGCTTTGTTTTGTAATTATGATAATTGTGAACATAACATTCCTATAAATGACAACTATCAGCACACTTAGCAAGAAAGTCAAATTTTTATATATTCAGTCTTTCTATCTAGGCTGATGTTGAAATAGATCAATGTGCTTTTATTTCCAATCCAGTTTCTGTTTTCTTGTCTTCAATATTCTTCTTTGCAAATACCTTTTTCTACCTAGTTATGCTTATACTAAAGTATTGGAAAGTATTTTATTTTTTTAACTTGTAATGTATCACTGACTCAAATTACTATGTCCTTTGCATATCTACGTATTAACTCTTTCAGTGCGGTGTTACTCTCAGCGAGTAACTTTGCTAGCGCTGGTGAGTGCAGGGTTACTCTCAGCGAGTAACTTTGTTTATAATATTTATTTCACTATATTTTTTATGTTAAACTTTTTTATTTCCCTCTTTTTTTTTAACTTCCTGGATGTGGGAGTGATTGTTCTTTATTTTGATTTTTTAATGAATTAAAAAATATTTTCTTTTTCTGTACTCAGTTTAAAATTAATGAAAAAAAATTTTGTTGGAATAATTTATTTGATTTACTATACTTTTGTAGCCCATTCATTTTCCTTTAAAATAAAAGATGTTAGATTATTGTAAAAATAAAAAAGTTATAGGTTTTAGTAACTCTACCCCTCCTTGAAAATTTGTGTCCGTTCTGGAAAACTCCATTTTTTCGATCAAAAAAATTCACACTGAAAGAGTTAACCAAGTCATTCATATTAATTAGAAACTCTTATAATTGATTTACCTGGCACATTCAGGCAACCTGTTCCATACTCAGATGCTACTTTTTCTCTTGTAAATAACAGACATTTCATTACAGCCTACACATATCCATGTTTTATATTACAGTAGTGCATGCTAAAATATATATTATATTATATAATATCAGCTTCACCTATCCCTTAGTCTGTTGGAACCATTTCTCTTTCTCCATTCCTGTCTTATGCCTTGTATAAAACCTCTTTCAGTGGCAGGCCTGTCCATTCCATTATATTGTCTTCCCTTTGCTTTCTCTGTCTGCCTCTTTTTTTTTTTTTTTTTTTGGTACTGTACCCTGAAGGAAGATCTTTGCAAGCCCTGAAGACCTTGTGATACAGCCATAGAGTTTTAGTGTTGTTTTTTTTTAAATATTTAGAAGGTTATCATATATTATACATAAAGAAATTCTGCTTATTGATTAATGTGCCTTTATCTTTGTGTCTTTCTGAGTATTTCATCTTGATGTTCTGTTTGTTTTTAGAACATGATTCGTATGCAAAGAGCTGGGGGGGATGGTGAGGAGGACAAGAAAAAGATGGAGGAAGAAGTCAGACTGGCTCGTCTCTGTACAGTACAAAATATTTTAGCCTTTGGATTTTTCTGTGGTTTAATCAGAGCAGGTAACTTAATTAGTGTTAAGCCATACAATGTTTTGTAACAGCTAATGAGTTAATACTCAAAAGAAACACAAGTCTTGAAAGTAAAAGCTGCAAAAATATGAAGTTTTTATTTTACAACTTTTTATGTTCTTTCTGAAATTAAGATTATTAGCTCAAACCTTCAGCAGGAAAGCATGTGATTGCAGCTACTGGGGATCAAACTCTGGCCTATCATGATGATAGTCCAAAGTGCGTATCACATGTCCAGGCAGTAATCTCTATTGGAATATCTTTATTTTTCAAGACTGGAGTATTTTAGTAAAATAAAAGTTGACTTAATTTGATCTTAAAAGTATATTAGGATTATAACTTTCAATAAAAATGTTCATGTCATTAAGTTAAGTTACTGACATATATTGATATACCTCAGATTCTCAGACCAGAAGTATCAGTTTGAACTCTGACCCATCACTTTCTCTGCATGAATGGATACTTTGTGATGTACTGAAGTCCTAATATTAATTTTATTTGAACTAGTCTTTCATCTATTTCCCTCCTCAGCACCCTGGCTTGTCAAACAGTTCAGTTAGTTGCTGCATTGGATCTGACTGGTTGTATTCAGTTTCTGTTGAATGGGACATTCTGGAGTCATTTGATTGGACTGTTTTTTTACTGTGTTAGCATTATGTTCATAAATGTTCATCCTGACAATTTCATATTGTGGAATATTTTTTTTTTTTACATTGTTTTCTAAAACTTGCTTTTTAAAGTTTCTTTTATATAGCCAATGCTTTATCTCAGTGCATTATGGTTTAATCTGTTGTGGGAGGAGGTAGTTATCTGGGTGAAAGTTTACAAGCTGCTTGTGGGCACTCATCAATCGCAATGCTGCTAGAAATGAGTTTCAAACTCATGTCCCATTAATAGGAAGCCAAATTTAATTTTAGAACAAAAAACAACATTCAGGTTCATGAATTTCATTTCTATTTTTTTTTTTGGTGGTTAAATTAAGAATAGCAGCTCATAAATTTGAGATTCAATGTAAACAATTTTATAATAATGTTCAGAAATTAAATTTATAAAATAACAACTTATCTGGGGATTAACTGTCATGAACAAAAGTTTAACATTAAAAAAAATAAATTATCTAGAAACACTTGGTATAAGCTGTTTAATTTGTCAAGGTAAACAAAAGCAGATTGTGTAGACAGTAAAATATCTGTAACTTGCAACACAAATAAACATAAACAAGCACACATGTATATTAGAGTATGAACAGCTGGTCCTATCAGAATTGATTTGACCAAAAAAAAAAAACAACTACTGATGTACCAGTAGTGGAATTTTTTTTTTTAAATCTGAATTTCGGAACTTGAAAAAGCTAAAATTTGACTTTCCCATAATTTGCCAGAGAAGTATACATTCAAAATTAGCCAGATACTAGACCTAGATAATTCTATAATTACCATTCTCATTTAGAACAATGCATTTTTTTAAAAACAATTTTTAATAGAGTCAACTAAATGATAGAACTTTCCAAGCAATAAAATCAAATCTTAAATATAATTGATACAAGAAACAAATCTAGCTATCAAGACTTTGGAAGATACAAAACACACATCGCTGGCTGATTATTTTTCTCAAGTACGTACAGTGGAGTCTTTTTCCCCCCTTAATCTTTCATATTGTGGTTTAATAATCATCATACCTTGTCTATGTCCTGCAGAAATTTAATTCACAAAAGTAATATTTAAAAACCTTGACATTAGATCCTTGTCAATTAGTGCAGTGTATTAGTCATATGTTTTTTTCAAACTAAAACGTGTATCATAAGAATGCTCAGAAAATGCTGTTGAACCTTTTTTTTTCTCATGTAGACTTGCAGTAAACTAAATTGAATTGTATTATATTTATTAGAACAATTCCCAACTTTAACAATAAAAAAAAAAATGGAAAGAATTTTCAAAAGAAATTTGAGTCTGAAAACTAACTTTTTTTTTCTACGAAAATTCTTATTGAATAAAGAAAGGTCATATTTTCTTTCCTTATAAGGTACATCCTAATTATTGAGACTCCACTGTAGTCTTATAGGCAAAGCTTCAATTCTACCCTGTGAACACAAGGTGCAAAGTAAACTATTGGAAGTCAAAACAAAACAGCATAGCTATTTAAAAAAAAAAAAAGAACAGCAGGCCAAAGGCAGCTGACTAAAACAACAATAAGAGTAAAAAATAGTTATGGAATGATATGAAACTTAGTACAGAATTAAATACACAGGTTGAACAATCCACACTTCAAAAAATGTTTATAAAAAAAAAATGTTTGTTAAAAAGGTTTGTTTCTAAAAAGAAAAAATGTTTATGGCACATTTGACCAAAAAAAATTTTGACTCATTTTCATAATTACAAGTGAAACTGAATATTTCAAAAGTTGATATCTATTTATCCATAATAGTGAGATGTTATTTGTTCAGTTATTGAGAGTGGGGTATGGATGTAATATCAATGCATCAAAATCAAATACAGAGAACAGATTGCAGTGGGTACAAACCAAAACATTTGATAAAATACTGCAAAGTAAACAATGGGTCAATTTTATTTTTTTTTAAATAAGAGAATGAGACAACACTGAAACTTGTAGGTTGGCTATAGTCCCACTATAACCTCGTCTAGGTTAAAAAAACACAGTTTACATTGACTGACTCTATTAAAAGGTAGAGCTAGCATGAGACATCAGCAGATATCAAAATAAAATTATTTCAACTTCAAGCCATTTTCATTTCATACTTTTGTGGTTTGTTCAAGCCTCTTTCTAGAACTAAAGAGAGAAAAGTTTAGCCAAGATCCATTCCATAATCACCATTATTTACATAGTCAGACAAGAACAGATGTACTAGTTTATAGAAATGATATTAAAGTCAAGTGCACACCTACACTTGTCAGTGTTCAGTCAAACAAGTTGATTGGATATTACAAAGAAAAACTGCCAAACAAAATTTATAGTCAGGGCTGACATTAGCAAAGGGAGAAAACTCATGATAGTAGTATTTATTTATGTACACTAATAGTTGGTCTTATAGTTAAGGAAATTAACATCGTACCAGCCACACATCAACATCAAATGAATGTACCAGCCACACATCAACATCAAATGAATGTAACAGCAACATGCATAAATTGAGTGTTGCCAGTTTCACAACATCAAATGAATGTACCAACTTCACATCATCAAACAAATGTTCCAGTTTCACATGAACATCAATAATAATGTACCAACTTCACATCATCAAACAAATGTTCCAGTTTCACATGAACATCAAATGAATGTACCAACTTCACATCAACATCAAATGAATGTACCAACTTCACATCAACATCAAATGATTGTACCAGCCACACACCAACATGCAAAAATTGAGTGCTGTATCAGCTTCAGTATCAACATATCTGTACCTCAAATGAAATACACTTCGATTGTATCCAGTTGAACAAACTGGCATATCACAACATTTTTGAAATTTTGAAACAACTTTTGATGGCCACTGCTGACATGTAACCAAATAAACTGTAAAAAAAAAACAACTAATCGCTTATTTATATTTAAAGTACTGTATAGAAGAATAAAGATAATGCACGTTTTGCTTGCAATATGAATACCTAACAAGTTATTTATAGTGAGGATAAAGATTTCTTATGCACTGATTAAAAGCTTATTAGACTGAATTTTATTTCTAATTTTTTTATGTTTGTAGATTCACACATATACTTGTTATAAAACATTTTTTATTTTTGAAATAAAGGCAAGAATTACAAAATAATTTTTCATAATAATACCAAGATTCATGTACCAGTATTGTACACAGATTGAAGAGATTCATTTAGGCCTACCAGTATTGTACACAGGGAAGAGAGAGATTCATTTACCAGTACACTCTTCAACTAATGACCAGTATCAGAAATAAGGATGATTAGGTCTCAGTCCAAATCTCCTGCAGGACAGCAGAAGATGGTGGTGGACAGACTTTAAATCCATAAATAACATGTTGACAGTTCAGAGCGCATACAGCAGAACCAAACAGACACTCTTTTATATACTACATATATAAACAAACATGAATAAAAATAATTGTAAATAACCAAACACTTGACAATTTGTTTACAAAATGAACAGCTTCTAAACTAGTACAGTTACACTGTTATTAGTGTATCTGAGAAGTGTGGTCGAGAGGCTAACACTTGAACTTGGCTACGCCCGAGGTTAGGTTCGACACCAGACTCGAGCAGAGTTGTGTTTACTGAGTGTCTAAAAGCAGCACAGAAAACCTTATCGCAGATAACCCCCCCCCCCCCCCCCAGCACTCCACAAATGAGAGCCTTAGCGCTCTGAGCATGCTATAAGCAATAAAGTAGTGCTATATAAAAGCTATGACCTATACTTATTATTATTATTTATTATCTGGTATGTTTTTGGATCTTACATCCATCTGATTATCTACTTTTACAGTGAAGCATAAGCATTTGTTGACTTGAAAACAGAATAGGGTACAAAAAAAATGATACAATGTTCAGTGAAGATCAAAGAAAACATGTCAAGGTTGTAAGCGCAAGTTTGTTTGACATGCCTTCAAAAAGAAAGATTACAATGACTTATCTCAATGGGAGATGAGTTCAAACTCTGGAAGAAAAACTAAATATAGAACATCGACACAAAATTTGTTTCTATGGAAACAAAGTATTGATGATTACCTTGATGCAATTGTTAAACCTGTGGCTAACACAAGAGACTGCATCGGAAGACCAGAAATGCATTTTGTGCTGGAGGGATACGAGAGTCATATTGCTGAGTTAGCCATCTTAGTTGTCCAAAGCATACAACCAATCAGGCTAGATTACTTTTTCAAATGTTAAATAAAGAAAGACAAAATTCTTTCCAGCTAATAGGATATTGTGTTGATCTTTTGATAAATTTGTAAGCAAATGTTATTTTCAACCAATAAAGATGGTAAGTACACTTAAACCTAACTTGGCTTGGCTACCTATGAAGGAAGCTCAAGGTTCAACACCAGAGATGGCTGCCTGGTCATGCGGTTTGCGCGCTGGACTGTCGTTCAGATTTCGTTTGGACTAGGAAGTAATTATCTTCAACTCTGAAGGAACATCCGAAACATGTAAAACATTTTACAATATAATATTTTACAAACAGACTCGAGCAGACTTCTCCCAGATACTCCCCACCCCCACTGGTCCACAAATGAGATTAGACCACAGCTCTCTGAGCATGCTAAAGCATGAAAGTAACACAATATAAAAGCTATAATTTATTTTTAAGCAACTTTGTTATTATTTATATGTCTGCAGTACCGGTACATATATGTGGCTTAAATAAAAAGTGAAATTTCGATACAGTATTTAAATGTGTAACTTGTACCATCACATGTTTTGTCTTAGTTGAACCAGTCAGTTCTTAAGACCAAATAGACTGGGTCCCAATATGGCAGGATTAACTGGAATCAATTGTAATTCAGCTTCTTTTCAATGCTTATAATATAAGAATTTGATCAACAATTTAAGGCTTACACATTCAAGGCAGAAAAAAAAAAGGCATTTTTCATACTAAGTAAATACTTTCAATGGACTGCGTCAAAAATGGAAAGAAGTACAATTTTTACATTAAAATAAGGTAAATTTTTTTTTCAGTACAGTAATAGTAAAAAAAAAAAAATAATAGGAGATTCATCAAAAGAATAAAACCAGCGCATGAGAAAAACAAATAAAAACTCTGTACATTGTTTACAAGAATGGAAGCTGGTGTGTGGCATTTTCACAAAGAAAGCTGATATGTCAATGAAAGGCACTTGTTACAAAACGTTCATAACCTTTTTGGGCTGCAACGGAAGCTTGGTGTTCCATCATTGAAGACTGCGGTGTAACAGGACTTCCGGGGGTTCTTAATTGTGAACCTAAGAGACAAATTGGTAAATTGGTTTATTAATTATAATGGAAAAAACAAAAAAAAGACTATACAAACTCTAGTGCAAGCAATTATTATTATTATAAATTACAGAGGGCGGCTGAGTGATCAAGCGCTTGGCTTTCAGACCTGGGGTTCTGAGTTTAAATCTCAGGGATTTTGAATTTTGGGATTTTTAGGGTGCCCCTGAGTCCACCCAACTCTAATTGGGACAGATAACTGACTTTAGTTGTGCTAGCCACATGACACCCTACTCATATTAACTGTTGGCCAAAAAAAGACAAGGTGTGAAAGGGGAACTTTTACTTTCTTAGTAGATGATAATTACGTCCTATGTGTATCCATGTGTCAATCTGGTCGTGCATGTTAATTAGAGACTTACACTCTGCATTACCTGCATTGTAGACAGAATCTTTAACAGGCTCAGCTCTCACGGCCAGAACAGATTGGTAAGACGATATAATGTTATTATTATAAGCATCTCCATAACGTTCTTCTGGACTCTTTTGTGATGATGGCACTGTTGAGAGTTGTTGGAAACAAACAGTTTACTAGGCTCCAACTTCAAAATAAACATTTGTTAACTTTATTAATAAACAAAATACTTTAAATTTTCTCTATTATTATTCAGAAATGCTTATACCAAAACGCTGAAAGGTGAATGTAGATTAATTTGATATCAACAAAGATGACACGTTGTGAAGAAATAATGAAACAGTAAAACCTACTCACCAAAACATCTTCTTTTGTTGACATGTGTATCAAAGTCATCTAAATCATCAACACATCTTTTGACCCCAGAAAACATTCTGTCTGTTGAATTGTCTGCGGGTGAACAAACTTCCGCCATGTCGACTTCTCCTTCCTCCATATCAACCGAGCTGGCGGTGAAGTCATTAGAAATACGCTCACCATTCATCAAAATGTGAGAATAGAGTCTACTTTCATGTTCTCTTGAAGGGAACGACATGTTGTAAGCAGCAGAGCCTTGTTGGGTTGGGTCTTGAGTGTGGGCATTCCAGTTTGGCCCTGGTGACCTTTCATGTTCTGCATGTTCCATTGTTTTTTTTAGATACTGAGCAAGTGCAAGATGATTGGACTGTTGTGCTAGTTCACCAGGAGTGAAACCTCTGTGATTCTTCAGACTGAATTCAAGAGAAAAACAAAAAAAAAATTATTATAGGAACATGTAAGACTACTGATTGCTATTATTATTATATTATTATTATAGCTTTTATATAGCACTACTTTCATGCTCAGAGCGCTTTGGTCCAACCTCATTTGTGGACCGGTTGGGGGGGGGGGGGGGGGGGAGGGGGGGTATCTAGGAGTTGGTTTTCTGTGCTGCCTTTAGGCGCTCAGTAAACACAACTCTGCCCGAGTCGAGTGTCGAACCTCGAGCCCCCTTCTAGGTGGCCAAGCCAAGTTCAAGTGCACTTAGCCTCTCGACCACGCTTCCCACTATTCAATTAGTAGAGAGCTTATTGAGGGTAAAGTGATTGGCAAATAAAGCAATGATCTGGAAATTGAACTGTAGATATATAAATAAATATGGACGGGAATATAAGGTCCAGCACTCTGATGTGTATAAAAGCGAAGGGAGCACGACAGCATTCTAGACTTTCAGTTTTCTCGATTAAACTGTAGAGCACTGGCATTTCTTTGTCATGTGGTAGGTGTGTGTGAAGTGAGGTAGATGTGTGCGTCATATGTTAGGTGTGTGTGTAGTGAATGATATTGAATGTTGAGTCTTGTTCTAAGTTGAAAGATTATAGTTCCCTCGTTGTAGAAATATTGGCTAGCTTCCTAATGAAAGTGACACTGATGCCCCCAATGAGTTGTTGCAAGTGATACCACAAAATATAATGAAAGTTTGCAATGCTATTTCATGCAGGATTGAGATAAAAGCAGTCCCATTGCAAGCTGGGTAATTTCTTCAGACTTGAATTTAGTAAAAACTTGTAAAATTATGCTAAAAAACTTAAACCTTGTGTTGTAGATCATTTTAAAAAAAACTTGTTTGCAAATTGATTTTTGATGATCCAAAGTTCATAAGCAATAGTAGCTCTTGTTTTAATGTTAGCTATA